ATAAATTTTCACAACGTTAGAAATATCAAGCGTAAAAGTAAGTTTGATTTTAATAATCACTACTATTTTGTTTCAAAACAAATGTAATAGACTTGTTTTATTTACTTAAAGTTAATCTTTAATGTGCATTATATGTTTCTCGGAACAAAATAAACAAGCATTTTATAATTTTTGCTAAGGGATTGGCATAATAATTATTTGGGGATTTTATACCGGAACAAATCATTGAACTATGTCTTCCTTTAGTTTAGTATTTCTAAATTGGAGAATTAATAAAATAGTAAAATAAAATTAAAGTAAAAGTAAAGTAAATAATATGTAAATTGTCGCTTCAAGAACAAATACTGAATAGAATGTGAAATTACAGTAACAATTAAAAGATGACATTTCCTTAAGAAATTTGATACAAAAATGCATATTTAGAAATATATACATAATAAAATAATACTGACTCTGATGAAAGAAGCGGGGAAAGAACATCCTAGAGCGAATTTTACAAGCCTTTAAGAGAATAATTAGCATAGTAATTTAGTGATTATTTATTAAATTGTTCAAAGGTGTCTTACCGATGAGCAGCTTTGATTAAATATTTCCAAATTTTTAATCGCTTTATAACTTTTTTTATTTTCTAACCAGGGAAACTGGGGAAGTGTGACTCACCAATTTTGAAATAAACTAGTGGGATGTATGCTTTATGAGGAATAGTTTTAGGGGGCAATATTCGTTTCGGCCCATAAAAGGTCCTGTGAGAGAAAAAATAATTCAATATATAGAAAAATCGGTATTTTATTACTTCAATGCAGATTATTAGTTATTGTAATTATCTCATACTCCAATTAATTTTGAGGTACTTTCATGTACTATATAATGCATATTTATTGCCAAAATTGATTTCGAAAATTTTATATATCTGTAGTTTTTCAGAAGAACTTGTTAGGTTAATTTTAAAAAAAATTGACATCAAATTTTTAAATTTTTTTTTTCAAAAAATTTTCCAAATTAATTGGAGTATGTAATTGCAAATCAATTAATTAATTAATAATTAATTATTAATTAATTGCTTAATTTGCTAGTTAATTTATTAGTTAGCAAATTAATCAATTAACCAATTAATTACAAATTAATAGGAGTATGAGACAATTACAATAACTAATAGTCTGCATTGAAGTAATAAAATACCGATTTTTCTATAGAATTATTTTTTATCTCTCACAGGACCTTCTATGGGCCGAAACGAATGTTGCCCCCTAAAATTATTCCTCATAAAGCATACATCCCACTAGTTTATTTCAAAATTGGCGAGTCACACTTCCCTAGTTTCCCTGGTTAGAAGATTTTCTGTTATGGATTCATAAGATACGAAAACTTATAAGCATTTGTAAAGCACAAAATTTTAATTAATATTAATAATATTACTTAAAATAATTTATAAGAAAATTAATTAAAATATTTATATAAATTTTAATTGTATAAAATATCAGTTTTTCAAAAAAATCCTTCAAGCGTGCCTCTTTTTCCTATATTGAATTTTAAATATTTGAGTTCAGTTTCTCCGGAACTACTCAAATTTTGCTTTTTTTCTATGCAAAATTACATTTTAAATTGATGTTAAAGACTTGTATATCTTACAATTTAAAAATTTTTCAACTATTTAAAAATATAATAATAAAATTTTGCAAAATAATTATTAAAATTTATTTTTTGCATGAAATTCTTTTCACATTAGCAAATTTTATAATTTTGCACAAAAATGTTTCAAATCGCTTGAAAATTCTCAAGATATAGTGAAATAATCTAGATATAGCTAAAAGTAAAATTGACATTAATTGCCAAAATCAGGGCCTCTCCTGACTAAGCACTTCTGACACACTTCTCAGATTGCGACTACCTTCTGTATTTAGAAGGTAAGATATGCAAATCCGTTGAAAAAAACTATGTTTTTGTATAGAAAGAACGTTTTTGTATCTGATTTCACAGCATAAAATATCGTCTGCACTAATTAATTTAAATATTTAAGTTCACTACCCCAAACCATTAAGATTGAGTCCCAGTAAGTAAAAATCTGAACATTAGATCAAAAGTCATGCAGGGAGCAATTTTTTTTGTGCATTTTACATAGATTGGTGAAAGACAGCAATAAACGGTTAAATAAAAAGTTTGCAATGCTAGGTGTTTTACAGCTTAAAATAATTGAAACTATAATCGCTTCAATTAGATCTAAAGCATTTAAATTGCAGCATTTTTTCATGTTCCTTCAATTGAGCTTAGCTTATTGAGATAATAATATTGCAATCTCTTCGAATTCCACCTCAATAAAAAGGATTTTTTGTATGAAATGTACGTAAAATGAAATCATTCTTATTATTTAAATTATTCCAGAAAATTCTTACTTCCTTTTATTAGTTTATAGTTTTTTCTGATAAGTTTTCACTTTTTTCGTAGTGATTAACTCTTCCGCTGTTTAAATAACCTCTTCATTCACTCAACACTGGATTTTCTTAACATAAAGCTAATTGTTAAGAGCAAAGCATTTAATTTTGGTTACGGAATCATGCGTCGATATAGGACTTAAGTCATTACATAATTAATGCTTTAAACAATTTAAAATGCATTCTTGAAGCAAATCTTCTTGTTGATTTCTTGAAGTTTGAAAAATGAGTTCATAGAAGAATGTTTTAATTTTATTACTACCCGTTAGAAATTTCTCGGAAAAAATGATTGAGTAACTATTTATTAATTTGTTATTTAACCATATTCAAATGATACAGTAAAATGACCGTAAATAAGATGATTATTAAACTGGGAACTGTGAGAAAAACTATTTATTAACAGCTTTCACCTAATACGGTTAAACAACCGGAATCGTACCAACTAGACACTTTTAATAACGCTACCTACTTCCTTGAAACTGCGTACATATTATAACCGAGAGGGATAGTCTGTTAATCTCATAACCGACAGAACTGGGGTTCGAGTTCCAGTGTTGACATCACAATATTTTCTCCCCTCCCTTCAACACCTGAAAAGTTTCTAGTGTCTTGTATTCCCCAGTTGGAATTCTGTACTCTCCAGTACCCTATACCTTAGGAAAAGCTTTGCTTATATTTCTTTTTCACGGTTTTTAAACAATTCTAGTTGCAGATAATTATAAAAAAATATATTTCAGTATTCATGGTTTTGAAACTATATTAGTTGTAAACGGTTTCAAAACCGTAAAAGTAAAAAATGTTCTTTACCCTAAACTTTACAGTGAATTGGATGGCCCGACTGTTGCTGGTTATTTTGTTATAATTTTAGGATGGAAATTCTAACAGTGTAGTGTAAGAGTAACTACTTTGGCTCTTTATCATCTGTTATAATAATGATGTAAATTTAACTCCATACGTGTTGGTTGCACGTTATCATAGTACTTAACTCTAGTACAAAGTTTATACAATGTTTCAGATGCCTTCTTTTGAAACCTCGGATGTATCATTGTCACATTATTCTATCACATAAATAGACTAAAAACACACTGGACATCTAATGACTAATTGCAGCTATAAAAACAAGATCTGTTAACTAGAAATGTGAAGCAAGAGTAGTAAATCGAAATTTCTTTTGTGTTTATTGTTCATTCATTTATTACGCAGATCCGTTTAAACATAATAAATAGGGGTATTGTAGAAATATTTTTCAAAATCCGTAGTTTCTTGTAGAAAACCTTTTAATATTGAATTACATTAATATTAATATTCTTTTTTAAATAGAAACAACAGTTTCAGAAGTTTAAATTTTTTTAAAATTCTTATCAGAGATTTGTAAACATTTTGTGTAAGTAATAGAAAACATTATAACTATGAACTTGAAATTTAGTTCATTATTATAATTTAATGTTAGTGATTCGAAATATTTAATTTAATGTTATAATACATATTTAGTATCATTTAAGCAAGTTTTTTCTTTTTCCTAACAGTTAAAATATTCTCTTTTGGAATTTTTTCGTTTGTGAAGAAACATTATTTTCATGATCGTTTTAGACCTCATTCATATTAGATTTGAAGGAGATTTCATTTATTTCTTCAGTTTGCTTTTTTTAAAAATCGTTTCAGAATTTGTTTTGTAACTATTTTTTAAAAATCCTTAAATTTAAGGGTTTATGGAGACGTAATTAATTTTATTTTTATCATAATTACCACAAAAGTAAATAAAAGCACAGTATTTTCTACTTTAATTATAAATTCTATTACATGTAGCTAACATAATGATTTAATTTAGTTAAAATGATTTAGTGTAAAGATTTTTAAAAATTGTATTAATAATATCAAGTAGTTTAAAGTTTTTTTTAAAAATAAAACTGTATATAATTGTATGTAAGAGAATGTAAAATTGTATGTAAGAGAGTCAGTGTAATGAGACATATCTCTAAATCTAAGGGTGAAACAATTTATGTGACTGTTTTTTCATTAAAAATACTTTATGGTAATTAAGTTCTTTTATTCCTTGAGTTTTTGTGTTTTAAATTTTTTTCTTCTCTTTTTCAGACCATAAACTTTTTTTATTTCCAGGCAGCGTTCTTTGAATTTATTTCCCTGTACCGGAAAACCCCAAAACCGGAGAAGCAGGAGAAAGTGGGAGAGTAAGAGCTTTTCCTGGTGTTCCCTTTCGAAGGATGGCTGGGTGAGAAATCATTTCTAGCCCGGATTTTGAGCGGGAAACACGGTCGCAAATCCTGTTCCGATAAGCACTTCTGGCGAGGCTTGTTTTGTGTTGCAACTGCAGGATTTCGTTTGATTCAGTTCATCGATAACTGCATCAAAAGTTTTGTGATGTTGGAAAGATCAAGTTAAAATTCTAATGAATTTATCATTGAAAATAACAAATAAATGCTTTTTTTAAATATTCTGAATAAAGAAAAATGAAGAATATGATTTAAAATTTTAAACATTTCTACGGATTAAATTCATTAAAAAAATTCTACTTGAAACGATATTCAATTCTTTTTAAGAACTGAGAAAAGTTTATAAATATTTTCAAATGCAAAATACTGAAAATTAATCGTTTGCTAAAAATTGTGTTTTTACTTACGGACGATTTTATATTGAAAACTTTAAACGCAGACGATTTCATTTACCGTTTCATTTGTTCTAAGCAATGGAGAGCTTAAAGCTCTTGTGGATTTTAATTTTGGTTTACGTAAGTTTGGAGACTGTATCTACAGCAGTGGATTCTCTTCCAGAGTGTGTTCGAAATAAAAATAATTCAAGAGTCGAATGGAGAGTTGAGAAACAGACATTTACTCTCACTTTAAATTCTTCAAATGTAAGTGATATACTTTCATATTCTTATCACATTGCTTATTTTAATTTTAAAATAATGTAAAATGTGAACAGTTTTCTGAGTTATTAACTATCATTAATTAAACTTTGAATCCAATAAACAATATTTTGAACCATAATAAGAACAAATTTAACCCAATTTAGAAAAATTAGCCATTAAATTTGTATGAGTTGTGCCATGTTTTCGGATAATTTGAACTATGGATATCGGGTTATAAGGTTTAAAAAGTATGAAGTATGGAAATTAAAAGAGCAATAATTTTTTTTGTGAATTAAAAGAGAAATTAAACCCTATACCTATGTATGTTAAATCCTATTCAACTAAATCTAAATGTTTTAGGAAGTTTATATTACTACGAGAAAGAAGAAGTCTTAAAAAAATATTTATTTATTTATGGAAAATAATGAATCTTAACTTAAATTAATAATTGAAGTTTAGTTTAATTCAGTACGCTAACATATTTTATGACAATCATATTACTGTATTTTTCTTCTTTATTGAGAACTTTTCTATTTTCCTTTTTTCCACTTCTCTTTTTTCTTTTTGACATAGTTATCTGTTAATATCATTGAAATAGAACAATACCTTATACTTAACCTCGTTCTTCGACACCATTTTGTTATCAAATATAACCACTATTTTGTTATAATTTTTTTTTGTACAGATAAAATGTAAGTACAAAAAAACACACTAAAGGTAAAATTGGAAACAAATAGCAAGCATACGGGAGGAGAGCATAAGGAATTCAATTTTTTTCCTATGTATTTGAATGTCAAATTATTAATTTGATACAAAAAAATGAATGATGAAAATTGAATGATTTGATACAAAATCGATCTTGTAGTAAAACTATTTTTGGGATAAAAAAACTATGATACTTCAATGTGTTGAAGATTCTCAATGCGTTTTTTCCTTGATTTTATTGGAAATTGCAGATAGATAAAAACAACATGCAGTTTTGCTTGATAATATGCTGCAAGTGTATACTTATAAGACATTATGAATAGTTAAATATGAAACCGATAATGTATGTCAATTCTACCGTGTTTACTTTACATAACTTGAAATTAAAAAAATATTGAAGTATCCAAATTTAGTATTATATTCACAAATTTATTAAGTATCAAATGAGAGTACATGCGCAAAATATTTTGTTATATCTTATGTTCTTTTTAATTATTGGCGTAATATTAGAGATTTTGGTATATATAAATTTAATCAAGAAAAACACTTGACAAAATAACCCCGGTATCGCTAAAATAAATCCACGGTATTTTTTTGAAATTAAAATATTTCTTATGGTACTCAAAAAAATACATTTGTAAGTTAAAGTAATATTAAATATAAGAGTTATGGAATTATTAAATATGTTATCGATTTAATCTATCAAAGAATTTAAATCATAATCATATATTTTGCAAATGTTTTAAAAAATAAGTCCAATTTCGGATAGTATCAAAAAAAGTCTAAATATTTTAAAAAGGCAATAAAAGTCTATAAAATCTATAAAGTATATTGTTACTATAGAGAATGATATAAATGTTACATGACGCAGTTTTTTTTTTTAGTTTTTAATTTTTTTGTTTCTCAAACAGCTCAATAAATCGTCGAACTATTTTCAAATTCCCGAGACAATTTCTCTATGGACGTTTGATTTAATTGATTAACATGAGAAAATTCCGGAGAGAGTGTTTTCCATGAAAACAACCCTACTTTGCCTTAAAGTCAAGTTTAAGTGCTTAAGTTCTTAAAGCCTTACTATAATCAAGCTTCGTTAACGAGCTTGTGTCATATTAAATAATAAAATGGGGAATGATGGCTTGATTTTAAAAGAAGCAACTCTACCTTGCATTGAAGTCTAGTTCAATGATTTAAGAGTTAAACGTGTGTGTGACTCTGACAAAAGTTTGTGAACGAGTTTTTGTCTTATGATAAAAGGAAGTTTAGTTGTTTGTTTTGCAAGGAAGTGATCCTACCCTTCATCGATGTCAAATTCTGTGTTTTAAGGGTTAAAAGTGTAGCACCGATTAAATTTTGTAAACGAGTTTGTGATGTATTACGTAACAAAATAAAGCACAGTTATTTATTTTGCAAGAAGGCAATTCTACCATCCACTTACTGAGTTTAACAATTTAATGGTTTAAAGTGTGAAAGGGATTAAATTTTGTAACCGTGTTTGCGACTTATTTTTTAACGAAATAAAAGAAAATATAGTGAACTTCTTTACAAGAAAACAATCATACTTGTCACTGAGGCTAAGTTCAACTGTTTAAGGGCTAAAAGTGTGATTGCGTTTAACTTTCGTTCTAGACCTTCGTTTTCAAAAACAGTTAAATCTAATGAAAAAACCTATCTAAATGAAAAAACTCAAAGCATTATATTTTTCCTACAGGTTGCATTTCTAATATTATAGTATTTATATACTTTGAGAGCTAAGTAAATCATTAAATATTCTTTCAAACTACATATTTTTTCTTTAACATAAAAGAAATTACTTGCGTTATGTAATAAATTTTTTTTGTCAAATTCACTCAAAAAAGTATGACCTTTTTCAAATGTTTTCTCTCGATCCATAATAAATTGTCTTCTGGAGAAAAATGCTTGCTTTCTTCTTAATCGCAAACTAAAAGACAACTGTAGCAAAAACATGGTAAATACCATATATTTTTACAAAAATATAGGACAAAGGTTATGCAAGTCTATAAATCTTATCGTTAAGAAAAGAAATAAGCGAAGCAAGATTGTATAGCAAAAAAAAGTTACATATCATATATTGTTCCTCGTCCTCTAATATCCCGTCGATGAGCATAGCTCTTTTGAACATAGTTTGAAATACATGTTTAATAAAATGGACACAGGTCAAAATGCGTGTTTAAGAAAATAGAAAAAAAATATACCCTTTTATTTTTCAAATGAAATTTAACGACGATAGCAAGAGACTTTGTACTTAATTTTCTTTACTATTTCAAACGCTAAGCATAATCATTATGGGGCAAAGTTTCAGACTTCGAGGTCGGGAGTGATGATTATATTACTGATTTAAGTTTTCAGGTGATATCTTCTCACTCAGAACGTTTAACGATAAATTGGTTTTTAGAAAATTAAAATACATTCAACGACAATTTACTACCATTATTTTAAATTTATAGACAATCTTGTAAAAATAATTGTTGACTTTTAAAGTCTTTTCAAAAAAGACTAATTTAAGAAAATACGTTAAGGGATTTAAGAAAATGCACTGTAAGAAATACAGGATCAAATTACCGCATAAAGTACTGGTATTTTAGGTGCATCATCCGTACTATCCACTTTATCGTGAATATTATATAGTAATTTTTTCAGTAGTATTTATTTAATTAGAGTGATTCAGTGATTCCGCGGTAATTATTACCTTAAAAAATTATGGTACACCGTTTGTTTGTTTCGTAACATGAAATGGATCAGTAAAATGGAATGTAATGGTAAAAATTTAAATTAAAAAATATCCGAGTCAAAAAACGTTAGTCTTTTGAGATTTTTGACTCCAACTAACGTCAACTTTAGTCTTTTTTTAAAGCATAAATGTCATAAAAAGTTTGTTTTTCAAGATCAAAAATCTTAAAAAAATTATATATGAGTTGTACCATCAAAAATACAGATGAAAATCCAAACCTAATCAAGAATTTAAGCTTAAAACAAATCTAAAGTTTAATCAGGAAAATGAAAACATATGTGTTTGAAAATGAAAATTAAGGTTTTCATGTGGATTCCAGAGACCTAGCTTTTACTATTCACTTGTAATTTTTTAATTTTTTAATGATATTTTAGAATCTAAACGTTATTTGCAAACTATAATTTGTAATGCATTTATGCTTCTAAAATTTTAAATATACACTTTTGACCAAAAAAAAAAAAAAAACACGAAATCTTGGGCATGTTTCGGGAGACCTACATATTTTTCCATTAGACGAAGAATTCTTTTATTGAATATCTGACCACAGTGACAACTTTTTATCGCCTTGAAGGCTAAAAAGCTATTAAAAAAAAAGGTTTTTTGATCCAATTCTAAAAAATTCTATTTCGATTTGCAATTTTAGTATATCTTTTTTTATAGTTTTCCAAATTGTTTATCTGAAGAGATTTTTCATTAAACCTTATCGGTAAGGAAAAGAAATGGTTTTATTTGTTTTTAAAGTCTTTCTCCTCAGACTATAAAAAAGTTTAGAATATCTAAACACTAAAACTGGTGTTATCTACTTTACACCGAATTGATACAGTAAATAACATGATGTAAAGTCCCTGCCACCAGTTTTATCCCGGAGAAGTATTAAAATTTATAATTACTGTAAGATATGATAGATATTCAATAGATTCAGTAAGGACGATTCCGTAAAATTATTCCTAAGATAAAGAATCATTAATTTAGGATGTATATGTAAAATACTTTTTACAATAAAATTAGTTTTTCAAGCAAACATGCACAAAGCCAAGAGAGTGTATATTATTATGAATTCAAACTAGGCTTAAAAAAACTGAAGCGTTGATTTAGCAAAACGTTCAGCAGTGAACGAGGTAAATTTTCGCCTTCAATTTGTAAAAAAATTTACCTTTGCCACCTGACGGCTTACAAACGCACGCCAAATTTGGCGGAAGCAATTTATGAATGGAATAAATAGAATCGATCTTTATGTAAGATTTGTCATAAGATGACATTTAGAAACTGTGCTCTTTAAAATTGTATATGAACTCGCGATTCGGTATTAACTTAAAATAAAGTATTCACTTACATAGTTTTTGGAGCATTTTAGCACCAAAGTTGGATACGTATCACAACACAGATTTTAAAGTACATTTAAAGCAGAATATACGAAAATGTACTAGAAAAGACGGAATTTTAATTGAAAATATTAACTAATAATCCAAAAAAAATTTACGTTTGTTGGAAAATTTTTAATTTCCATTTGAAACTAATATCTTAAGGTTTTGAGCAGATGCCTAAAATA